CAAATGTGGGCCTCTGCAAATCTGGCAGATGGGAATCCTCCCCCTTCACTTTAGTTTTTGCACAAACCCCCATAATCCTGCTTTGTGCAGCAGTAGTGAATGAAAAATGGATACAGTTTGAAGTGAAACATTTCTTCCTTTGAAAGCAATTTCCTCAGCTGATTGATCAAAATTTTGTCCGAGGGATGATAGGTTTGCTGTCAGCTAAAGCAATGTAAGGAATTTACACTCGTATGCTATTTAGGATTCACAATGTCAGCTGCTGCAAAAAAACCCTTTGTGCCTAAACTCCCTTTTTCTTGGGAAAAAAAGGGAGTCAAGTTTATTTTTCCTTAAACACAGCAATTACAAACCTGAAGACTCAAAAAAAGTGCTAAAAGTGCTTGCATTAGTGTTCCTTTAAAAATGCATTTGCTAAGAGCTGGATCAATGATGCTAAAAGAACTGATATTCCATACTTTCTATCTCCCTCATTTTAGTTCCCTTTTTAGCTCTGTCTATGGCAAAAGTGTCCTGCTAGCTCGAATGAGAAATTATGGGAACATCTTAGTTCACTGCAGTCCTGCACTCTGACCACCTCAACAAAGACTAAAACTTCGGAGAACCAAGCTAAATTCTAAGAGAGTTCTCCAGAGCGTGTAAAAACCAAAGCTTTTCAGACATTCAGATACTGGGTTGATTCCTTCAGGAAAAAGAGAGGTATACTCCTGATACCAGAGCAACCCCCTGCCCCATTTCAAGTCCCAGACCCAATCACGAAGGCAGTAGAGCACCTGAGCTGAAGTGCTTTAAGAGTATGTTCTAAACTAGGAAAAACTATTCATTTTATCCTAGCCTTTCTCTGACAGCTAACCCATTTCATTGACACTTCGGGCAGCAACAGTAATGTAATCACCCTGAGACACATGAAATTTCAGCTTGGAAGTTTACAGTTCAACTAAACTATAAGTAACCACGGACAGTTTTATTGTGGAAAGTGTCAGGAAAATTGTAATGGGAGGCAACACTGTGCTATCTTTAATACAGCCCCAGATTATGAAATGTTTGTAATATTCAGCAGGCATGCTGAGCATGTACGAACGTCGTTGGTATGTTTGTCTGGAGGATTAATAGCACTTAATGACATTATTTCTATACTTCTCAAAGCAATGCAGAATATTTCTGCAGCTCCTCATCTGTCTGCTATGCCTGTAGAAAGCAGCGATGCCTCCATGGCTGCTAATGCAATTATGATGAATTTCATAAATAAGATCCACTCTTCAGGGTTAATTTCCAAATTTCTTTATGCAGTGAATAAGAAATGAAGTTAAAAGTAGATGTTTTAGGAAGTTAGACAGGACTGGAATGGTTTTAATGTTAACACAGATTAATAAGTAGAATACTGTGTTCATTTGAGCTAATTATTTTCTCAGAAGGCATCCATCTTATTTAGGCAATTACACAGCCTCAAGTCTTCATTCCTTACCGATACTATCAAGGGACTTCATCTGCTAGTTTAGGTTTAAGACTGTTCATGTGTTTTTAATAACATAGATTTAATTTGAAAGCTGTATTTGAGCTGTTTCCATGTGAATATTCCACACTTACAGAGAAAGGCATTTATTCTAAATTTGAACTGTAACTATAGTAACCAGCATTCACTGTGTTTCAGTAGGAAATACATAAGCCCACTCAGACAGAAGGAAACATGTTGTGTTAATTATCACTCTATCAAAAGACTAGAGTTTGTATTTTAAAAAAAATAATTATCAGAAACTAGGTGTTCTTACTATCCAGACTTAGAAACCAAGAGATTTGCAGGAATGTATTCTAATGTCATTTGTGGGAAACTGTGAAAGTTAGGAAAAGGGTCATATCTGGACCAATTTGGAGGATATAATAAACCTCACTTTTTTCCCAGCTATTTATTGTCTAATAAAAATACAATGTTGAGCTCTCATAAGCTAGCTTTGCAGGATTCAACTTTGATTTCCTAGAGCAATTCCTAATCTTAGACAAATAGAGTTACTGCTTCAATTATAGGTAGATGATCTGATTTTTTTGCTTGGGCCAGTAGATGATAGATTCTGTAGATGATTTTGCAAAGGTAGTAAATGCCACTTTTACAGTAATGACCATATTAGTCAAGGTGAGTAAGGACAATAATAGCTTCCTCCTTTCTCTAGAATTCTCTCTCTGCACCTGTTTTCTTGGGGGTTGATTTTGTTTAGGGGAGAGCTCACCCCTTAGATATTTTTTGTTTTATTTTCTAGCATTAGTATTTAAGCATACTGTGTTAAAAGTTTAAATATACAGCATATGTAAATCTTGTAGTAATGGTGAACTTTCCAAATATACTAAGGGTATATAGTTTTCCACAGGTAAAATATTTACTGCATATATTTCAGTATGCTAATGGATTTAAAGTTTTACTAACATGTTTTTTAAATAATGCTCATTCATTGAATAATGGAAATTCAGGATATTGATCCATAATATTTAGGAACAGAAACACTGAATTATCTAGTGCGATGTCCTTTATAAATGCCTTGTGTGTCTCTTTTTCCCTCTATTCTGAGGACTGTAACTTGTGTTTCTCCAGTCTTGATTCTAAGATATGAATGGATCGAGATGCCACACATTCCTCTTCTATATTATTTTGGTAACTACGCATATTAAGCATTAAAAAGTAAAACTGTCTGTGTTTTCTTTAGAATTAATTTGTCAGACATCAGCTTGTTGCCAGTGATTTTGATATGTGTTAGACATCAGCTTGTTGCCAGTGATTTTGATTATCTCTCCCAAAGAGAATTTTTTAGATCTCAGTATTTTCTCACTCTGAAGGCATTGCATATACAATATAACAACTCCTCTCTCAAGCTGTGTTTATTGAAGCTATGGATATCAGGACCAAATAACTTGTGAGGCTTTTCATTGGAACATTTCAACTTTAAATATACGAATACCAAAACTGTACAGACTAAGCCAAGTTTTGGGTCATACCACACTGCAGTTTGGGCTCTCGGGTCCCAGGAGGTGGGCTCACAGGGGCTGTGTGCTCTGGTTTTTCAGCTCAGATCAGGACTGAGCTTTCAAAGCAAATGTCCTTTTTGCCCTCCCTTTCAGCACTTTGATTCATCTCGTGTGACAGTCTTGGTGAACGTGTACTAGATTCATTTGCATTAAACTGATCTTGAAGATGAGCTCACCCAAAGCATCCACCTGCTAATGGGTGGCCAGTTCATGAGGCCAGACTAGAACTAGCCCAAAGAAAAACCCCTGAAATGTATAGTTTGTGTCCTCTCCTGTTTGGCCACACTATTTGGTAATGTTAACCTGCCCATCTTTGTTTTCAGAACTCACCCACTCGCAATGAGGTCTTCACTGAAATGAGTCAGAAAAACAAATCCTTTTCATTCTATCTGCTTGCAGATGTTGGTGGAGAGCATGGTTTAAATAAGACCACCTACCCAATTCACAGCGTTTTAGAGTAGCTGAAAATAGCTCTTCTGCCCCTGAGCATTTGTACATCTCCTCAGCAATGCTCTTTTTGGCAAAACTGTGTAGTTTTAAGTAATCAAAGCCTCGAGAAAGTTTCTCTGCGCTTGAATATTGTAACAAATAGCATGCCCCCATCTTTCAGAAGACAAATTTGAAATTCATTTGTAAATAAGGTTTTTAAAACAAGAAAAACTTTCCAGTGATAGCATATTCAAAATTACTTCAGTTGAGCTGAGGGCAAGACCCTTAAAAATCTGTGGTATTGTAAAGTCAGTATTGCAGAACCTAAGATTTAAACAGTGTTCATGTGCAAAGGGCTCTGCAAAGCTATGGGCAGACCGTCTGCATGTGCGTGGTCCATGTTGGCTTATGGATTTGAGGCAATTTGAGAAAACTTAAAATACCTAACACATTTGTTAAGGATTACCCAATAACACATTGGCCCCTGGAAATCTAGGTACCTTCCTCAAAGTCAGGTTAGTAAGAAATTCTCTGTTTTTCTTTGAGATTCAAGGCAAAGGTTGCTCTGAAGCATAAGAAAAAGGAGCTTCCCCTTCTCCTCTTCTGGTCTGCTCCAGCCAAACAAGCTGCTGGATCATTTCTGTCAGCTGATTAACTCTTTAAAACCATTACAACCTATTCACTTTTATTACTCGGTTAGTTTTCTGCTGTGGAGAAGGCAGCCGTGAGGGGCATTGCTGGGAGCAATGGGAAATGGGGCAGTGGTGGGGAAAAGGAGCAAGACTCTCCTTTCCAACAACTGCAATTTCTTACATCTTCTCAACCCATCAGGTGAAACTTCATCCTTTTTACTTCGCATTTGCCATGAGCTTAGAGACCATTCACCACCGCTGTGTGTCACATGCTGTTTTGTAAGGCATTTTGTGCTAATTTTGAAGTATTTTAAGGTATTTTTTAAGCAGTTCATGACTCTGAAACCATGGTGGTTTTTTTTTAAATAGATTCAGAAATGGTGGGATTCATTTTACCTTATTTGGGTGATCTAAAAGTTCATCATTTATGTAAGCTAGGGAATCAAAGTTCCCTCTATAGGAAGATAAAAAGGTGCCTGCACAGAGAGAAATTTATTCCATTGTAAAGTGCACATCTGAAAGCACCGAGGTGAACAGTTTATTCTCCCTCTGTCCTTGTTTCATTCCTCTGACCACAGAAGAACTCTTAAATGTTGCCTGATTTTTGGACAGCTTAAATTGGAGAGGGTAGATCTGTCCTTAACATGCTTTTACCACACTCCCATGTGTATTGGGAGGGAGTGCTGTTCTGCTGGTGTAGGACCACCAAGGCTCCTTGAATCCAGTCCTGTGTTTGCCAGAAAACTGCTGCTTGGCTGAGGAAGTGAGCTGATGTCTCTCTCTTTCCAATTTATAACATTTGCTTTAAATGCTCACTTTATGCATAATAAGCCACCAATTGTCTTGGGAGATCAGATATCAAACATATCGTACAAAACGCTGCTATAATCAACTTGTGTTTCTTTATTTGTGTTTTCTTTTCCCCAGAGTTGAAAGAAAGGAGCGTGCACGTTTGAAGACGGTGAAATTCAATGCAAAGCCTGGTGTAATTGATGCAAAAGGGGTACGTAAATAGTGAAACCTTTTGAAATTGCATTTTGTAATTGTTTTATATGTTTCAGAGTAGAGAAAACTTTAGCAACATAAGGAACATTTAGATTGTTGCAACCAAGACCTGAAGTATAGTGAAATATAGACAGGAGTATAGCATGATATAATCTTCTAAATAATTAAATATTCTTTTTATAATAATACTGACTGACAGTGCATCCTAATTGGAAGATACTAAGAAAATGAAGAGTACTCTTTGATAGCTGCAATTGTAGTTAAATGATGGCTAGAGAAGAAAAGACGTTAAAAACCAATGCGGATGGATAACTGTTTAATGAAATAGGGCAAGAAAGGTAAATACCCTGGCTTCAAAAGCTGTTAAATCTCAAACAAAAAGTTGAAAGTTAGAGTCACAGATGCAAAATGTAGGTTTCGGATGTTCTGCTTTGACAGTTGTGACAGACATTGAACACAGGTGTGTTTCACAGCAGGCACTACGGGCCAGCCAACACAACACATGCAAGCTCCCTTCCACCAGCGCTATCTGGACAGAACAGCCTTCCTGCTGTTACCGCTCTGCAGCATCGCTTTACTGTGCCCAACAGTCAACAGTTTTCACTAGCCTGATGTCTACTATCCTGTACATAGCCGTCCGGCTGGCAAGAGTTATAGCATGAGAAATGCCCACAGTCCTGGCTGTTGAGGTATATTTTTCTGCTGAAGTGTAGCTTGCATTTGTAGCAGTAGTAAATACTTGACATTACATTTGCAGGGATTTATTTTTGAAAACAGTCTATTTGGCATACATGGGATTTACAACTGAGGGCTTCTGTGAGCAAACCAAGAGACAGAGCTTCAGAAACCATCAGTAAAAAGTCCTGTTTGGCTGCAGGAAACACAGGGTGATGAGAGGACACAGTCGTAGGTAGGTAGGTGCTAGCAAGGGACAAAGCCAAGGGGTTCAGCAGGTCCCTTCCAGACCTGCTGTTCCTGTGGTCCTCTGCCTAGTTTGAAATTCTCATTCTTAATCTCTTCTTGCTTCATTTCCCTCTGTAATGGGAATAATAATACTTCTTTTATCCCCGTTTATTCTGTCCTTTCACTTGGACTGTAACAGATTAGCAGGGTAAGAAGTTCTTCTTGCCATGAACATGTAGTTCCTAGTGCAGTGTGTCCCAAGCCTCTACATGTCAGCAAGATAATATTTCAGACTTGCAAATACTTCCCTGTTACTGCTCTACAGAACAGTTCCTGAGTTCAATGCAAATGCAGAATAATTGCACTGACTGAAACCAGTTTTCCAGATTTATAAGGTACGTGGAATCAGAGTTCAGCCTCTGCACATTATTTGCACATGCAGATAACTTGGTATAAAATATATAACAAACTGCATTGTGAAAGGCCTTATTCATCTCATTGCATTTCTTCAGGAGTCAGAACTCCATTTTTTAGTTTGAAATGACCACTCTCTGCAACCCTGTAAATTAATGTTGTCATTTATTTTGGGAGATAATAAGCTTTATATCGCCAACGAAATCACTTGTTAAATGTCTATTTCCTGTATATAATCAAAGCCTCAGGGGAATAATTCATTCATATAACTAATGGTCTTTATTCAAGTGAGTCTGTCAAGAATTTAATTACCTCTTGATTCCCCGAATTGTTTTTCCATTTTTGTCATCAGTGTAACATTAATCTTCCAGCCACTCACATCAATCTTTGTTTCAGTGTTTAAGAAATTGCATAATTGCAGACCAAGACCGTTGTACCCTTTTGGGAGCACACTTTCTATTGTTAGTATTTGCTAAAATTTGCTTTTGTCTATTAAAAAAGAATTTAATTACCTCTTGATTCCCCGAATTGTTTTTCCATTTTTGTCATCAGTGTAACATTAATCTTCCAGCCACTCACATCAATCTTTGTTTCAGTGTTTAAGAAATTGCATAATTGCAGACCAAGACCGTTGTACCCTTTTGGGAGCACACTTTCTATTGTTAGTATTTGCTAAAATTTGCTTTTGTCTATTAAAAAAAAAAAAACCCCACAATTTCAGGGCTTGTGTTTGAAAGAGCATAAAGGGGAAAAGTGTTCACTGTTAAATTATGCATCAACATGTAAAATGAGGTGTTTGAGTACACGAATATGTATGTGCATTTTATGGATCAGCATTTCCATTTCATAGAATCATAGAATCACAGAATCATAGAATCATTAAGGTTGGAAAAGACCTCTAAGATCATCGAGTCCAACCGTCAACCCAACACCACCATGCCCACTAAACCATGTCCCTAAGTGCCTCATCTACACGTCTTTTAAATACTTCCAGGGATGGGGACTCAACCACTTCCCTGGGCAGCCGGTTCCAATGTTTAACCACTTGTTAAACCATTTAGTCTTTCAGTGTTCAAAAAGAAGTGGTGTAAGCTGTCTAACAGTGCATGCTTTACTTTTTTGTCTGGAGGAAATTCAGTCCAGATAAACAGGGCTGCATTAAGCCCAGGAGAACGCTTCTGTTTGGAAATCAAGCTAAAATTCAAGATAAAAATCAGGCTTATGTGTGTCTGTTGCACCTTTGTGCTCATACATTCATGACCATGTGGGCAAGTGGTACTATCTTCATTTACTCTAAAGATGAAATTGGGAGAATAACATTTCATGTGATACTTCTAAATTTGGCCAGGAGATGTGCATGGAAGCATTTTGTAACAAAATCTAACTGAATACAGAGAACGCTTGGGGTTTTTTGCACAGGTAAAATGTATATCCTGTTGTGATTTTACTTGAAGCATCTTGCTGGCCCCGATTCCTTTCTTCCCTTGTAGAAGCAATGTTTAAGACCTACTAAGCTACAGTGTTTTAAATGTTTTACGAGATAGTGCCAAAACTTCTTTGAGATAACTTCTCTCTGTGATATTACAATATGAACTGTCTAGCTATTCTACAAGTTTTGAAAGTCTTATGCATTTTCAGCTATTTATGCCTCATTTTTAATCCCAAACCCAGAGACAAGATGCAAAGAAAGTATTACAGATGGTGTGACATTTGTAGCCGATGAGCTTCTTGTGTCTCACTAAAAGGTGTTTAAGAACACTCAGCAATACAGTTGACAAGCCTGTTAGCAGGGATAGCTAAAGGATAATCTTTTCAAAGGCCCAAAAGTTCCTCTTTTTCAAGCCAAACTTGGGTGCGTTACCTCATCTAGAAAATGAGTCCAGCATTTTTTAAAAATGTGATTTAGAATATTTATATCGCTTTTAACTTGTTTCATTGGACTCCTCCAATCCATGGCTTGTGAAATTAAAGTCTACAAAATCAGGAGGGATGTAAAAACAGGGAATGTGAATTACAATTAGGGAGCTCCAGTGAAATCTTCTGGTCTCAAGTTTAAATCAGGCAACGGATAGTACCTTTCCGTGCAATGCATAATTAAATTCTGATGCTCACTGTTACAGGACGTTGTATAAAAAAATATAAGTTAAAAAGGAATTAGATAAGTTAGCAAGCAATGGATCCAATAACAACTTTTAACACTTTTGTCATGTAGTTCAGGTCATACTAATTGTTGATTTCAAGAAGCAGGGAGGTTATAAAAGGGGAAGGATCATGTTTCTTCTACATTTTCTTTTAAACATCTGTTATTGGACAACTTCAGAAAAAGCTACTGGGCTAACTGGATCTCTGGTTCTCCTCACTGTTACAGGGCGGTGTATAAAAAAAAAGTTAAAAAGGAATTAGATAAGTTAGCAAGCAATGGATCCAATAACAACTTTTAACACTTGTCATGTAGGTGATTTAGAATATTTATATCGCTTTTAACTTGTTTCATTGGACTCCTCCAATCCATGGCTTGTGAAATTAAAGTCTACAAAATCAGGAGGGATGTAAAAACAGGGAATGTGAATTACAATTAGGGAGCTCCAGTGAAATCTTCTGGTCTCAAGTTTAAATCAGGCAACGGATAGTACCTTTCCGTGCAATGCATAATTAAATTCTGATGCTCACTGTTACAGGACGTTGTATAAAAAAATATAAGTTAAAAAGGAATTAGATAAGTTAGCAAGCAATGGATCCAATAACAACTTTTAACACTTTTGTCATGTAGTTCAGGTCATACTAATTGTTGATTTCAAGAAGCAGGGAGGTTATAAAAGGGGAAGGATCATGTTTCTTCTACATTTTCTTTTAAACATCTGTTATTGGACAACTTCAGAAAAAGCTACTGGGCTAACTGGATCTCTGGTTTAACGCAATAGGGCTACTTTTCTTTCATTTTCTGTTTATTTTGACCGAAAGAAACTTATTTGCTCAGGTTCGGAGACATCATCAGAATCCTAGGTCCTATTAACATTTTTAAAGATATCAAACCAGTTAGAGATGCTAACACCTGTGTAATAAGGAAAAGAATACAAATACTAGTATAAACAGCTTCATTTCACCAAGCAAAGATTGTGCTTCACTTGTGTTGACCAAGTCCAGTCTCTAGCTTCACTCATATAATTGTAGTAATGATCTTCACCAGCTTTTCTAATTGTTACTGAAGGTGGCTGGAGTATCAAACCAACCAGTCCACCCCCCTGGTTCCCTACGGCTGCTCTATGCTACTGCAGCAAAGGGCAGGGTTTCCAGGACACTGGCTACCTTAAAGTTTCAAACATAAAAAAGATAAATGAAGATAAGATAACACAGTTACAATTTCCTAAGCATTTGCTATCTCAGCCTATGGGGCCCACTGGTCTATGGATAATCAATGGAAAACAGAGCAGCCCAAAGGTTTATGTCTGATATTTATGCTGGAGGAAGCTACAGGAGCTATGTGAGCACAAACTTAATTAAAAAGTATGTTTTATGCTATGTTGAACTCAAGATCATACCCCAAGTATTTTCTGGTGCTCACCTTTGTGCCAAAAGGAGCAGAACGTGTTAGTAGCTCTGAGCAGCGTTATATATCTGCTAAAGCAGCATACTGAACTCTTGGTAATTCCCCCTACCATAGGCTTCAGGCTGAACAAGAAT